TGCCAGTGGAATTGGCAGCAAGATTCCCCCCCCCCCCCCCCCCCGGCCCCCGGGAGCACTTTAAAAGTTTCTTAAGGGCTATCCATGCCCTTTCGTGAAAAAACGGGCCGTTTTGGGGAGGTTTGCAGAGTGCAAAAACTTTTTTTTAAAAATTTGCCCCTTCAAAACCTTGGTGCGTCTTATACTCGGGAAAATACAGTATATCCCTGTTTCTGTTTATCCTACACCATTAGAGATCACATGTTGTGTTCTGTTTCCTCCCATCCACACCGCCCCCAGTGTTGGAAGCTAGAGTGAAGCAACTCCGGGCTGATAACGAATCGGACATCCTGAAGCCCAAGATCCAAGTATGCCAGATCAAGAAATTCAATTACTTTCAGGGTGCCGCACCCCAAACATCTCAGGGCAAGCCCCTCCCAACGGACGAAGCCGCCCGCATCCTCAAAGAGAATGCTTGGAAGGCCAAAGTGAAGAGGGAAAAACAAGCCAGCAAAATGAAGCGTTGGGCCGTGGATGCCAAAACCTTGGAAGCGATCCTCTGTTCTGAAACTCTGGTGGAAAAAGCTGTTAGGGACCCCCTGAAATCTGTCAGGCAGCCTACTACAGCCGATGGCTCCGAAGCACAGTCGAACTGCACAATCGCCATGACGGGGATCCGTGTCTGGGACAGAAATCCTGCTTCTTCTTATGTCCAGGCCTCGGCTAAGCCTGTGCCGATGCTTAATGGGAGGACGCTTCCAGAAATGAAAATCTTCCAGGATGATATTCGGATGACCATTTTAGCCTACATGGACACTTCCCTGTTCAAGAACCAGAAGAGGAAAGCCTTGCAGTGCTTGTTATATTTCCACAATACCCCGGGGCTGAAGAAGTTTCTGACTGTACAGATGTTCAGTCTCCTCATGTGTCATTACGCCAAGCAGGTTGGGTTTTTTTTCTTCCCCCTCTTTTGCACATACATACTGTCAGGCTTAACCCAACTTGGTCCATTAGGAAAGAAACACCCTTGACTCCATTACTAATAGCCAATTAGTTATAGGGAGCAAAGCCGGATCTAAGAGTTCATGCGCAAATATTTCCGGTTCCACCACAAATGCGCGCACAACAAAAGCGCGCCTGACTAAACCGCGGTGTCTAAAGCGCGGTGACAAAACCGTG